GAATTCAGAACCTGAGGAATCAAAATCAACTAGAGAGAGAGACACAGAGAGAGAGAGAGAGACACAGAGAGAGAGAGAGAACTCTTTCCTTCTGACAAGTGGTTATCCTTGAGTTCTTGTCCATAAAAAGCGCATCGGGAAGGAGTAATTCTGATTTGGTTCTCTCAAGCCTGAGCTCTGTCTAACTCCAGAAGTTTTATTGTGTTGTGTGTGTTATGTAGGGGGTTTGTGTGTGTGTGTGTGTGTGTGTACGCACTCGCAAGAGCCCATTGTCTTAGAGAGGACTGGCAAACCCACCTGTACTCCCACATTCAATGGTGCATGCTAACAGGTGCCTTCAGAAAATTGTGTTATCTCATTGCCAGAGCACTGATGAGCTGAACTATCAGGAAGACTCAAGGCACTCAGAGGACAATTTTTGGCCTTGTCTGCTACCCTGATGCCAAGGGGAGGCATTTGGCCTCATGTATCCCTGAAAACGTGTCCTCAGCACCATCACACTCATGTGCTGGAATTCTCAGAGCACAAACACTTCCCAGGAAGAGTATTTTAGTGGGCAGCATTGCCGGGACTCCTGGTGCCTTTCCAGTGGACACGAGGCTCTCACTCTGCCTCCAGCATTCACAGCAATGCACCTCCTGCTCCTCTTCCTGGGAGTATACATTCCTTTCACCTCTTTCGCCAGGGTTTCTGCAGAAATTCTCTTTCCACATGACACCTAATCCTCAAATGTATGGATGCTTTGTCTTTGAGATTTTCTCCACGGCAAGAAACTTGGACTTCATCTGTTAGGTGATGGGTAGAGAGTGAGTTATTTTAAAGAGTATGGATCATCTCTATCCTCAAGTCCCTGTGCTCAGAAATCTCCTCCCCTGGTTCCTTGTTTCTTTAGTCCCTGCAATGATTACACCAAACTCTGATCCTTTTCTGGTGCTACTTTTCTTACATTCTTTAACTCTTTTATTTTATTGCCATATGATTGTGTATGTACCAGATTGTAACTCCCAAATGTTACCCTATTGATCAGTCACTTTATTTAAATGTCCAAATATCTATATTTACATTAAACAAAAGATTGCATATGTCTATTACCAGAAAGAGGTAGTGCAACCCACATCCACCATGCTGCTTCTCAGTTCCTAATGAAGACAGAACAAAGTTCTTGCATTGCTTCACAATCCTCCACATATAAACCCAAACTACTTTTCCAGACTGATTTCTTCCTGCTTTTATGCTGTGCTCCAAATAAAGATATATAAGTCATTTTTATCTGAAGTAATTCTCAAATGTATGGATGCTTTGTCTTTGAAATTTTCTACATGATAAGGAACTTGGACTTCTTCTGTTGGGTGATGGGTAGAGAGTGAGTTATTTTAAAGAGCACAGAAAATTACATTTGCATATTATAAATATACTTTTGGGTTCACTAAACAGATGTGTCTGTAAAGAAGCCTACCTGAGACAGGAAGAACATAAATAAGAAATGGGGTGGTAGCTAGAAAGAGTTACAAGATTGAGGAACATTCGTTGAATGACTAAAGAGGCTAAAATATGTTTACCAGTTAATGGGAAAGTGCTGGTGTTGAGGTAGATATTGAAGAGAGAAAATACTACAGCTGACAGAATGGTGGAGCAATATAGCTGAAGAAACAGAAAACAACAAGGCTGACAGAATATTGGATGCATGGACACTTTTCTTCTGAGTCTTCGGTGGAAAAGGGACAGGATGGACGTAGGTATATGATATGCAAGAAAGAATATTGAGGAAATATTATCCCTTTCATCCCAGAGATAGTGTTCTTGTCAGTCCCTATGCCAGCACTAAGCCATTGTATGCAGTTCCAGAGTAAATCATTTTCATGCTTGATAGAGAATTCCTCCCTCCTTATCGTTTTCCTCAAATTGTCTTAGATCTTCTTGGCTCTTTGTTGCCCTATTAAATTTTTGGATCAGTTTACTAAGTTCCATGTTTAAAAGAAACCCATGGTGTTTTGATTGGGATTGCAATTAATTCATAGATTAATTGGAGAAAAATTGACATTTTTACAACATTGAGTCTCCATTAACAGTGCTTATTTCCACATTTTTTAGATATTCTTTTGGTCATTCAGTAAAGTTTAATAATTTTTGAATCTAGTCTTGGACCTCATTTGTTAGAATTATTTCCAGATTCCTTAAATTTCTGTTGCTATTGTGAATAGAAAGTCTCTTTAAAATTATGTTTTGCTACTAATTTTTACTTAAATGTAACAACAGTATTGTTTTTTGTTTGTTGGGGTTTTTTGCTTGAGGAAGATTGTCCCTGAGCTAACATCTGTGCCAGCCTTCCTCTATTTTTTGTATGTGGGACACCGCCACAGCATGGCTTAACGAGTGGTGTGTAGGTCCACACCCGGGATCCAAACCTGTGACCCCCAGGCCGCCGAAGCAGAGCACGCAAACTTAACTACACCACCAGGCTGGCCCCCAGTATTGTTTTGTTTTGTTTTTTAACAATGATTTATATCAAACAAACTTGCTGAAACCTCTTACTGCATCTAGAAAGTCTCTTGGATTTCTTTTGGAGACAATCTTATTTTCTGTGAATTCTATCCACTTTGATTTTTCATTTTCAGTTATTATACAGCAAAAATTTCTTCTAGTGCTCTTTTCACGAATAGGACAATGTTTAAAATGCTTTACACAGAACGCTCAATATAAACTCCTTGTTTCATATGGATCTGTGGCCACATCTCCCAGGGGCCTTTAAGATCAGCTCTGGCTTACAATACTTGCTCTTGAGTATTCTTTTTCTTTCTCAGAACTACATAGTCTCATTTATTTCTTTTAGGTTTTGCCTATGTGTTTTTTCTTTTTATCTAATAATTTATATAGAATTTCTGTGTGTTTAATAGGAATCAGCTAAGTCTGCCATATTGCCAGGAGCCCTGCCTCTAAAATATTACGTCTCTACCATATAGGCTAACCGTAGTCTCTGAGCCCTCTGTTTTCACTGAACCCTCTCCTTCTGAGATAGTGTGATTCTGTGTATGTATGATACAGGAAAGGGCACTTCAAGACAGAAGACCAAATTCATTTATGCACAGAGATGAAAAAGCGTGTCATGTGTAGGGGAAAGATAATTTACCTGCTTCCCTGGTGCTAGCATATAATTCCCATCTGTACTATAGGAGACACTGAGAACTGGTGGTTAAATTAATTACATATTGAACTAGTTATCGAGTAGAGGTCTCTAGAAAACTTAGTGAATTACTTAGGATATCCTGGACTACAGTAATAAATACATTTAAAATATGTAATCGTTTAAACAGAATAAAGTTTATTTCTCTTTTATGTAACAGTGGTAGTGGGTATCCTTGGTGGTGGGTGGCCCTCTTGGTTGTAGAGAACTAAGGACACAGGCTCATTCCACCATGTGACTCCACCATCCCCTTTATCCTCCTAGCCATTTGCATCCAGTTGCCCAAGGGGAAAGAGAACTTGGAGGAAGCCCAAAACTGGAATGCATGGATGGATTGGCTAGAACTCAGTCACATGACCATACCTCAGTGCAAGGGA